CAATATTTCGCCAGTGATTGCCCGCCCGTCCCGCCTCCCCCACACTTGTCTCTTTTCTCTCTTTCGGTCTCACCAAACAACAACTCGGCTTCCATACCTAGTTTAGCGGCGCAACTTGTCCGAAACTCGCGAGAGCCCTGACAAATTATTCACACAACGGCGCCCGGAGACGCCAGTGTGTTGTTTCCTGAAAATAAAAGCCGGGCCGACAACACCGCGCGGGAAAATTTAAAACAAGCCAACGTCATCGCCAAGGCAAGGCGAGGCCACGCGACAGGCCCATTTGTCGCAGAGGCCACAAAAGGCGGAGGAAAGTGGGGAAAGAAAAAGGAAAACAGTGGCGAAACGGGGGAAGAAAAGGAAGGCGCGTACACAAAGACCATTTTGATGTATCCATCTAGGTGAGGGCAGCAGCTGAATTATTAATAGGGCCGCGGTGTCAAAAACCTCTTAAAACGGACGCCTTGGAGCTCCGCCCTTGCAGCGCCCGCCCTCAAAGTCCTGTGACGCAGCCTTCTTGGTATGCTTCCCGCATTTCTTAGCTCGCGCCGAGGTTTCTGCCTCAGTTTCTGCCTCGAAGCAGCTATTTGGCTAAGTAATCGAGATGAGGGTTTAGGAGGAAAACTGGAGCCTTGTTTAAGGTTCGAGTCACAGAGGCACTTGAGTTGGACGAAAGGAATGTCTGTTGAATCTGCATGTTTCAGTGAAAACTCCGCCCAGAAAAAAATTAGCGTTGACTTTCAAGCGGCCTGGAGCCTCGGCGGCGAGCTGACTACGCTTACCGGTAGGTGTGTCTATTAGGAGAGTGTTGGAACCACGCGAGGGCAGGATGAGAGACTGGAGGGTGGTCCCACATATTACTCCATTGTTGTCCGACTGCGGAAGCCCCTTTGAGAAGTCAGCGCGCGGGGTGGCGTTCAAAGCTCCGTTTGTCTCAGCCCATTCTGCTGGAGCGTCGTCGCTCTGTCTCTCTCGCACTCGCGGTGCGTCCTCAGGTGGTGCGAGAGGGACAGAGCGACGAGAAGGCCTCTCAGTCTGCTGGAGGCATATCCTTGCTTCACGCCCCCTCAGAGGTCCCGAGTCAATTGTTCGTTTCGTTTATCGATTCCGTCTGATTCGGCCAGTCATCTCCCATTTGTTACGTAACGTTTTCCGCGCCGCTTTTCTTGTTTCTGTTGTTGCCGTAAAAGAGCTGCTTCCCTACCGCCCTTTCGGGTCTTTGTGGCGCTGCACAGTGGACCAGAAGACGGGGCGGTTGAAATCCCGAACTGATTTTGAGCTCCACAGTCGCTAAATGGGGCTTGAAACGAACGTGTGACCACATCAATGGATTGCTCTCCGAACGAGGAATCCATTGGTGGGGTCAAACGTTCCGTTCGAGTCCTGTTTAGCGACTTTCGAGCTAAAAACGCGTCGGGGATTTTGGCCGCCTCCACCGGTCTTCTGGCCCACTGTGTGGTGGGGGTAACGGGGTTGGGGTGTTGGACCTCCTCCAAGACGCCGTCGAGGGGCTCCCCGCTGGTCCTCGCTGGTGCCGTGGTGATGACATACCAATACGACGTGGATGATCCCACAGCCGTCACCGGCCGCTGCGGCCGCTGCCCACACGCCCGCGCCAGGGGAGGTCCCAATACAAACGACAAGGGCACAAAGGACTAAATATTAGGTTTCATTAGAGCTCTGCGGCTTTCACATTACCGACCCCTATTTATATTTGGGGACGGCCAAGACGCGTGTAACTCCATCGCGCTCCGCGGCGTTCCAGGTGGGAGATACGTGGCTACGGCTTCGCGCCTTTTTTTCATGTTCTTCTTCGAGCTCCCGTCCGTGATGGCGACAGGCTGCGGGAGAGAGACATATCGGACCGAAGTCATGTGGCCGTATACCGCGCACACACACACACACACACACTCACTCACTCAAGCTCCAGGCGAGACTCGAAACAACAATATCTGGGCTCGAACCCGACGCGCGCTTTGTCAACACGACGCCTGGGTGGGCCGGGAACACGCTGCAAAACACGCCGTGGACACGCCGCGGACACGCCGCGTGGCGCGGAGCCAAATCCAGTGACGTTTCCATCAGGTTTTCGCTGTCATATTCGCCGTCTCTGCGTTCCGCGGCTCGGACACGCCGACTTTGTACGACTCGCTTGTATAACTGCGTCAATGCTTACGTGGTTCTGGACAAAATTATGCGAGCACATTGCTGCACTCTAGAACCTTCGTTGGGATGGAGAGAGCTGTCCTCGGCCCTATACGCTGAAGACTACCTAGTGCACAGTTTCACGAGTCTCTTCCTCTCAGCTTGAATTCAAGGAAGAGTGTGTTTGCATCTCACCGCTCCCCATTCTTCTTCGTGTTTTATCGGGTTCCTCTTTGGGACCGCCTTCAGCCCAAACAATCGATTTGCCTTTAACTTTGTGCCGACGCCGCGGCTCCTATACCTACCGTTCGGACCGGTAACGGTGTGTGTGAGTGCGTGTGTGAGAGTGAGACACAGTCGGCACTATGCTGCGTGTGCCAGAGTGAGAGGGCACACACATTCGTGCGTGTACCCCCTGTGGCGCCACCCGGCTGCAGCTCAATGCCCAAATGACTCATCACACACACACACACACACACACACACACACACACACACACACACACACACACACACGGACGTACACGTGTGGTGTCAGTGTGAATATGCCGCCACGCTGTCTACGGATGAAGCCGACGATCCACTGCCAGAAGACGAGGAGGCTTTTCTTTTCGTCAGCGGGAAAAGGAGAAAGGGCTGCGAACACAATTAATCAACATAATTGTTCGTCTGCAGAGGGGAGTGCACGGCGATCGCATGTCTATTCCCTGTTTTCCCTCGCTGCTCTCCGGGAAAATCGGCCGTCCCTCTGGGCGGGACCGTCCGGAAAGTGGTGAACCGACCCATTTTTCATACAGATTGAAATGTCGGGAGCTCTTAATTCGTCCTTTGTTTCGTCTGTTACTTTGATTGATCTTTGTCTGATTCAAGACACGGTTGACGCAATGGCTGTGTGGGTGTCGACTCGAAGAAGTCGGAAGTTTGTCCTTTTGTAATTTCGGCACTTAGGGCCGGCCCCTGTATTGACCCTCACCCACCCTTCTGCTCCCGAAACTTTGCGTGCGGGGCCGGCCGGCCTAATACAGCAAACGCAAACTCAAGTGCCCCGTGATGTAAGCGGCTCCCCTTTCCCTTTTTATTTAATCATTTTGTTGCATGTTTGAAGGGGATTGTGAAACGATAATGGGACTGATCATTTTCAGGAAGAGAATCGTCGTCGGGGAGGAAGAGAGCTCCCTGGTGATGTGCAAGTGTTTCGGGCCTAATTTGAATGGTAAACCCGGGAAAATGGAATACTTCCGTTCATCAGCGGCGGTGTGTAGTATCATGTTTGCTCTGCGATAGGGCAAGGTAGTGCAGTGACTCGAAAAACAATTCTCTGCTCAAATAGTTTTATTCTCCATAAATACAACACTGCTCTTTTTCAGTTTTTCCATGTCTACGCGACACTCTCTCATGTACTCTCAATTATTTGTAATAGTTCTTAAAATCTAAACGTAAGATCACATATGATAGCGCACTTCGCGGCTTTCTTAGACAATACAAACAAACGCAACAATTAATATTAAATAATCATAATAATTATAATATCTCTATTTTTAATTTTTCTAACCCTTTTAACAAAAACCACTCTCTACGTCAAAGCAATTATACAAGGATGCCTCGGCCGTTTTATACATATCGTAATCACATTTTCTTCTACAGTGCGAGGAACCGGTTTCATAATACTTCTGCGGACCGACCCGGGGCCCGCCGGCCGCCGGGCGGTGACACGACAATATCACAAAGACTAGACGCGCGTTCAAGTCCCTCCCAGACTTTTTTTTACTGAGATCATGGAGGGCCGGGCCGCGCTTGGGTGCAGCACACTGGCTGCACGGCTGGTTAACATGAAGGGTCCTAAGTCGCGTTCGGAATATCACGGTTTGGCCCTGTCCCCTCTCGCCGAGAATGAGTGCAAAGACTTTGCACTGGATTGAAACAACGAGTGAAATAAACGGGTTGAATTGCCTGGTGAGTCTACGAAGGAACGGTCATTTCGGACCTCTGCCAATGTACACAAAAATTCCTTCAATTTCCAAAAATTCATCATAATTTTTCCGAAACGTGATTGATTTGAAATCGAAATTCTCCGATACTTAATTGCGATGCAAAACTCGTCTCAAACTGAAAAAGTGGAAGATGGAGGTTGAAAGTTTCTTCCTGGCATTTGACTAGCATGGGGCTTGAGGGGCCGGTCAGTAGCTGTGCGACAGGGACGCTGGGGGCACCCCATGGGGCCCCGCTGAGGGGCCGTGGGGGCCCGGGGGCCCGTGAGGGTCCGGGGGCCCTCCGAGGGCCGCGGGGACGGACCGCCGCCCCCACGGGAAGGGGGCCGTGGCCGCGGGGGGCGAGGGGGGCGGCGGTGCCCCATGTCAGACGGCACGCAGCGTGGGCGAGAAGCGGAACAGTGGGGGGAGGTGGCCCATGGGGCCCATGTGGCCCATGTGCCCCGCCATGTGCCCCGCCAGCCCGGCCAGCAGCTCCGGGGGCGGCGACGGGTGGCCGCCGGGGATGGCGTGGTGGGGGTGGTGGCCCTGGTGGCCCTGGTGGCCCGGCGGCGGCAGGAACGTGTGGCCGTGGAGGCTGCCCAGGAACGGGTGCGTCTGGAACTGGAGGGACAAGGCAAAGGTTAGCGAGAGTCGATAGGGGCCAGTCGATAGGTTGTGGGCCAGAAGACCGGCGCCGGCGGCCGACACTCTAGACGCGTTTTGAGCTCCAGAGTCGCTAAAAGGGACTCGAACCGAACGTGTGACCCCACCATTGGATTCCTCGTTCGGACAGCAATCCATTGGTGGGGTCACACGTTCGGTTCGAGTCCCATTTAGCGACTCTGGGGCTCGAAACGCGTCCGGGATTCTGGCAAGTCCACTGTACCTGGAGGAAGCTGGGCGCGTAGCAGGGCGCGGGGCTGGGCAGGTGCATGTGCAGCGGACTCCTCGGCGGCGTGCTCCTCGTGCTGCCGGGCGGCGGGCTCGCGGCGGGCGAGCTGCTGAGCGGCGGCAGGGGGCTGGACGCGGGGCTCACCACCTCCACGTCGCGGTCCTCGTCGCGGTCCTCGTCGCGGTCCGGCCCGATGAGGGACTCGATGGTGAAGGGCCGCTTGGGCCGCGTGGAGGGCTGCAGGCGGGTCATCATCGCGGACGTGTTGGTGATGGTGGCCGAGGCCATGCTCATGGGGGGCGTCGTCGGCGGCGGCAGCGCGTGGGGGTGGGGCAGCGGCTCGTGGAGGCGAGGGTGCGGCGCCCAGGGGTCCATGACCTGCAACAAGACGACAACGAAACATGAGAAATCGAGCAGCGTTTTGTACGGAAAACTTTTTCTTTCTTCCAGTGTGCTGTGAGATGAAGGCGTGGCTCGGCGCGGCAAGGCGGCACGGCCAAAGCACGGTGAGCGCGGCGGAGATTTCGGGCGGCTCGGCCAGTCTTTTGGCCGACGGCGATGATCCAGGTAAAAAAGGAGGACGCCTTCGCCTTCACGCCTTGGCAGTGGCTTGGCTGCGCCTCGGCTGAGCCCCGCCGCCCCGCTCGGGCCGTGGCTTTGGCCAGTGCAATAAACATATACTTAGAGACTATTCTTGGGGTAATTTATGTGCAGGGCGCACCGGCCGAGCTGAGCCGGCTGCTTCCGAGCGCTGCTGCCGTCCCTCTCGCACTCGCGGCGCGTCCCGTGGGGGTGCGAGTGAGACAGACTGAGGCGGCGCAACGAGTTCTAAAGGCTTAGGGAGCCGCGGCCAACTAGATCCCCACCACGCACAGTGGGCCAGAAGACCGGTGGAGGCGGACAAAACTCTAGACGCGTTTTGAGCTCCAGAGTCGCTAAGTGGGACTCGAACCGAACGTGTGACCCCCACCAATGGATTCCTCGTTCGGAGAGCAATCCATTGGTGGGGTCACACGTTCGGTTCGAGTTCCATTTAGCGACTCTGGAGCTCAAAACGCGTCTGGAGTTTTGGCCACCTCCACCGGTCTTCTGGCCCACTGTGCCACGCAGGCGACCTTTCGGGCCTTTCGGTCCTTCGGGCCCCGTCACTGCACTGTCAAAACAAACAGCCCGTTCGCGCCTCGCACAGCCTGCGCGCCGCTTTGCGCAGAAAGGTAAGGGGCAAATTGGTCCGCCCGGTGGTTAACTTTTTGTGCGCCTCTGCGCCGCTTTTTTCGCCGCGCGAGTACGGTACACTGACAAAAATGAGTTTTCATTGTGCGGCCCGCCACGGAGGGAGGATGACGAACTCATCACTCGCATGTGCGGGAAATTTATGATCATTTCATCACAAACGGATCAACGGCACTCTTTACTTGTGAGGGTTATTGGCCTTTGCCATTGCCCCACAGTGACAAGTCGGAAACTTTGACAGTGTAGGCCATGCCGTGTTCCAGTCCACCAGTCCGCCGGCGGTGGGGCTGTGGGGCCCGATCGGTCCAACCGTCGCCGGCGGCGGCCCGGGCCGGAACCGGATGAGAGGCCGTCACCACACTGTCGCCACCCGGACACACGCGCAGCCAGCAGCCCAAATCAGTTCGGCCCGGATTACTCCGGCAGTGTTGCCAACAGTGGGCCAGAGGGCCGGTGGAGCCGGTCAAAATCCCGAACGCGTTTTGAGCTCCAGAGTCGCTAAACGGGCCTCGAACCGAACGTGTGACCCCACCAATGGACTGCTCTCGGCACGAGGAATCCATTGGTGGGGTCACGCGTTGTGTTGGCGAGCGTCCGCCAAAAGGTGATCCGTCTCGATCAATTTGGGGCGGGGGACGTCACTGCGGGGACGACGGGGACGGTCTTGCTTCCTGCGACAGGACGGCCACCCACCCGGCGGAAACAATAAGCTACAAATTAGGGTGGGAGGGTCCCGCGGGAGGGAGCGAGAGAGAGAGAGAGAGAGAGAGAGAGAGAGAGAGAGAGAGAGAGAGAGGAGAGAGAGAGAGAGAGAGAGAGAGAGAGAGAGAGAGAGAGGGATAGAAAGAGAGAGAGAGAGAGAGAGAGAGAGAGAGAGAGGGAGAGAGAGAGAGAGAGAGAGTGGAGCACGGTGACGCTCGCGACTGCCGACCCTGGCTGCGAATAATCCACAACAGCAGTTCCTGGCGGTTCGCGGACCACCCTGCACACTTGTGAGGGCCGTGGGCACACTGTGGGCACGCCGCCGGGTACCTGGCCGTCATCTTCTCGCCTCCTCTTCACACTAGTTGGTGTGAAGCCCGCCTCGCCTGCCCTGGACCCTGCCCCTCCTCCTCCCTCCCAAAATCGAATTTGGCCGCCCCGGTTTTTTCCCTGTAATGAAGCATGAAGCCGAAGCATTATCCTGCCATTATAGCCCCACACGCTTCGCGCGAGACCCTTGCCCCCGGCGCACTCACACACACGCACACGCCGGCCCTCTCTCACACACACACACGCACGCACACGAGTATTTTCTTATGCATACGTTGTTTGGGTCCATGTTTATTTTAGAAGCTGCATCCCGTTGGAGCATTACAATACCCGGGTACCCGTCCGGTCCCCGTCCGGTCCGGCCACGCACTTTGCAGTAGGCCAGGTGCCCTGCAATCTGTCGGGTCTTCATTTTTATGGGAAGCGACAACTTCGTCGTTTTTGTTTTGGGCGCTGTGTAATTGAATTTTCGGTCGCCAAAAATGAAATTCGAGGGTCCAAAGCTAACAATAGCTTGAGGAGCTGCCCTTGGCACGCGTCGCGAATTGTTCCTCGAGCCAGTCGTGCGTCATGCTCAAACTATCCGCCTACGTTGTTGTTGTTTTCTTGTTTTTTTTTCGAGTTTTCCTCTTTGCCGCTCTAACGTGATGAACCATCCGTCTAATCCGTCCGCCAGCCTCGGCCGGCCTCGGCGTGCCGCCTTATTAATGCGTTGCATGTCGGGGCCTTTGAGGGCCACATTAGAGCGTGCGAGAGAGACAGAGAGAGACGCCACCTCGGCGCGCCGGGGGCGTGCGAGAGAGACAACGACTCCGCCGTGCGTCGGCGATCGCGATGCGTCCGCGCTACAAAAAACGAGCTTGTTATTATTTTCGAGGTGTGGATAGAGGCGCTACGAGGTGTCGGTTCTCGAACCTCGAAGCCACCACACTCGGAAAAATCGAAAGCGCCACTGTCGTGCCCTCGTCACTCCCACGGCATAAGACTCCGCGTCTCTGCTGACACAAACCGGCCGGAAAAAAAGATCGCCCTCGCGTATTCGAACCCGCGACCTTTCGCTCGCCGATCCGCGTCGCTAACCGCTCGGCCAACGGCGTAAAACCGCTGCGAGGCGTAGGAGAGAGGAAAGCAGCAAGCCGCGAAAGCACTAAAGCCAATCTCTGGCGGATAATCTTTTGGCCGCGAGCGCCGGTAAAGTCTTTGACGCGGCTAGCGCGCCTCCATCTCTGATTATGAAGGGGCTCGCGGCTCGGCTTGGAAAAAGGGCTCCGCTTTAGTCCATCATTACTCCACGCCTTCCAGGACTGACTCCAGGACTCCCTCCAGGTTGGCAGGCGTTGAATCGCCTCGACATAATACACAGGCCAACAATTAATCACCGAGTCTATCAGGCTGATTTCGTTCCAGCTAAACAAATACTCGACAAGTCTTTTTCTCTGACGGTTTTTTTCCGACTCCGTCTCTCTTTGGCCGTCGTCGCCGGCCGCTCGCGTGTGCGTCGCGCGGCGCTGCGCGGCGCTGCTCGGCGTTTCCCCGATCGCTGAATGGCGCGCCATGTGAACTTGCGCGGAGAAAGGCAATTGAATGGATAGCTCAATGGGAAGGGTAGGTGAGGGGCTCGCGTGACGGGCCGTGCCGCGCCGTGCCGCGCCGTGCCGCGCCGTGCCGCGCCGTGCCGCGCCGTGCCGCCACTTTGCGGCAGTTGCAAGGCGTTGACGGCGTGAGGCACCGCCTTGGCACCGCCTTTGGACCGGAAACGAGCCCTCTATTCGCGTGCGCCTTGTTAGCAGGCGGTGAGGCGGCCAAGACGGTGCCGCGCTCTCCGTGTGAACGCGCTGAAGGCGCTGAAGGCGCTGAAGGCGCGCGATTCGAACAACGGCGGATGCTTACCTTGGGGGCATGGCCGGCGTGGCCCGGGGGCGGCAGGGGCGGCGGCAGCGCGGCGGGGTGGGGCGGCAGGGGGGCGGCGGGCAGCCCCGCCTCCGGACCGCCGCCGGAGCCCTGGCCGGGCGTGAACAGGAACCTGTGCATGGACGCCAGCGCCGCCAGCTCGCCCTCCAGCCGGTCCTTGTCCGACTTCATCAGCTTGAAGCGCTTCCTTCGCCTGCAGACAGAGAGAGAGGAACGGCACGTCAGCCTCACGTAGCACACCAAGTCCGAACCGCAAAGTGAATCTGTTTGTCGCGGACGTGGGCGCCGGACAGGCCGCGAGGTGTTATTAACGCTCAAAACCCGCACCAATCCCAATCCGAATCAGAGAAGTCCGCGGCCCGAACCGCAAAGTAAATCCGTCTGGCGCCGCGAGGTAAACGCTATCCACACAAGCTGCGACCGCAGCGCGGCGAGACGCCACCGTCGGGGGAAAACACACATTCACATTCGGAGAGACGTGCTGCAAACATACTGCGATTCCACTTTGTTGAACTGTATACGGCCCCGATGTGGATAAAGCAACAGAAGGGCGAAAAAAATTGACGACACTCACTGCCGAACGCAGCACTGCAGCGACAACTTATGGACTCTGTGTGTGTGTGTGTGTGTGTGTGTGTGTGTGTGTGTGTGTGTGTGTCACTCATTACAAGTGTGGTGGAGAAAGAATCACACCACAGGGTCCCCCCTACTGGAGGGTGTACTTGCGGCGAGGGAGAGAGCCTTTAGCAGTAGTGGCGGCGGCGGCGGCGGCGCTCAAAAATTATTATGAAAAGCTTTTTACTGTGCGGTCGGCGCGG